GTGCGAATCTCACGATGGGCCTGACGATCCTCGAGCGTGGCAGGCCCCGGAAGCCCCTAGAGCAAGGCTGTCACAACAATGGTGTTCTGGCTCACCTGGGTGAAGTGTGGGAGGGCTTCATCGTCCTCGATGATCCTCCAATTTATGTCATGGGCCACGGCGCGTGCACGCCTACCGTCTCCATGGCACTCGATCTCTCGCTTGAACTCCGCGCATTCTTGCTCGATCTGGAGTCGTGCTTCCTCGAGCTCTTGGTGTCGGGCCTTCAGCTGCTCTACCCATAGGCAAGGTGGGGCCCCTATATCCCCCTCGACCTCATCGTCGAAGTCGTTCGTTGGGGTAGCCTCTCCCTCGTGGATGCTTTCGACATGTCCCTCGGGGATACCTACCATGAAACATTCATGAGAGGGGTGATGGCTCCCCCTGCTGGAGTCAGAGCTGGAGGGCAACTCTGATTCTCCTCCGAGGAGGTCGTGGAAAGATTCTGCAGCATATTCAGTCATCCCCATGAATTCATCGTTTGTAGGGGATGGAGGCGTGTGTTGCGCCACAAGGTGGCCAACGGTCTCTGCGGCATTGCAGAGACTGGATGGGAGCGTTGTCGAGGTGCTCCGGATGAGGTATTCTAGGGAGAGCGGCTCTTTGGCAAGCTGCGTCATGACATTGGCGAACGAGAAGGTGAGGTGGCCCAGGTCCTCCTAGGATGGTCGGGGTCCTAGGAAGGCACCGAGCTGACGTTCTAACCTCCTATAGTCGAAGTCGAGGAGCTGGTTGCTCCTAGGGGCGCGGGCCTTCGGTGCGTGCAGCTATAGCTCCTCAAGCGCCATAGCGATCGTGTCGAGGCCGGTGGAGTGGAGAGGTTGGACGACGGTGGGAGCCTACGCCAACTCTCCCTCCGTCATGACGATGAAGTCTAGGTTCCCGAAGCGCACGTGCATGCCCAGGACCCAGCTGACACCGTGACTAGCCATCCGAGATCTGGTGTGGACGTCGAGACACGCAAAAGGCCCCTATCTAACGCGCCAACTGTCGGTGTTTTGAGTTACCAACTAGTAAATTTCTAGTATTGCGTGTCGGGCTTGGATGGTGTGCTTAGAGGACATGAGGTTTATATTGGTTCAGGCAGAAAGTCCCTACGTCTAGTTCATCGTTGCTGCTCATGTTACTAGCACTGAAAGTTTATAGTAGGGGTTACAAACGAGCGAGAGAGGAACAGGTCCCAAGTCTCTGATGTGCGTGTGCTCCTAAGACGTGTTAGGGCGTGTGTTTTGATGTCTACATCCATGTAGAGTGGTGAACCCCCTTCCTCCTGGGATGTCCTGCTTCATGTTTTATAGACAAAGGGGAAGAGCATGTTACACAGAGAGAAAGAGGGAGAAGAGGCCAGGAGAGGAAGGCTTCCAGGACTGCTGGTCTTTTCTTTTCCTTTGTGTGGGTCCCGCTGACACTGCAGATGGTGAAAGGATAGCTCCACGCTGGGCGCCAATTCGCCGCTAATGCCACGTGCTGGCATTGTCAGCGGGTCGTGACGTCCCATTCCGCCCCGGCGGGCAATGCGGCGAACCAACGTGCTGATCAGCGGTCGTGCAGGGAGTAGGCAGCATAGTGACCACGCGCCCATCACTGTTTGTGATGTGAGTTCCCTGGAGTGACATGTCACAGGCATGGGTCATGTTGAGATGTGCCCGCTCCTTGCACGATCCAGAAGTTTGACCTTGGATTGTACTTTCTGGCCCGTAGTGGCTGACGGCGGTATAGGCTACCGTCAGGAGCCGTGCCTGAGGGGTCGGGCGAGACGGAGCACGCCCCCAGCGGTCGAACGAGGCAGAGCCCGTGGTCTCGGGGTCGGGCGAGGCGGAGCCTGCGGCCTCGGGGTCGGGCGAGACGAAGCCCGCCCCCAAGGGTCGGGCGAGATGGAGCCCGCCCCCAAGGGTCGGGCGAGACGGAGCCCGCTCCCAAGGATCGTGCGAGGCGGAGCCTGCACACCTGGGGTCGGTTGGAGCTGTAGTCGCACTCTTGACTGCTCGGATGAATCAATGTTGATGACCATTAGCTCCTCTTCTTCGGGTACCCTAGTATTGGTCCCCGACAGGTAGAAATATAAATTTTATAAAAAATACCCTCCAACAACTTCTTTAATTGGTTATCCAAATATTATCAGCCTTTATTTTTTGCTAGCCAAAGATAGAGAGTGAGACTAACTCTCTAGAGTTTGTAAAGATAGATTGAGACTAACTCTCTTGATGCATACAAGATATAGAAAAGAATGACACTTTTATGGGATGAAGAAAGTAGAAGATAGTCTTTCATACTAGTAGCATCAAATTAAATGCAACATTAAAGTTGTGTATGATGGAAAATCATGTATATAAAAGATAGTCTTTAAAATATAACAAGAGCAAGGCTAATAATATAGTCTCCAGTTGGTTGTATGGATCCTTACAGCTCACTTATTAGCCAACTCATATAGTAATTGGTTTAGTTATAATCCATCATTTTCTCTCACATAGTTTTTTGGTTCTTATACTTTAGCTGATTGCAAACTTATAACCCACCTTTCTTCTCTCGCCTCCTTTTTTTCTGTTGCTCCTCATCATACAGCCTTCTAACATACTCCCATATACTTGCTCTAATAACGTGCACATGCTATGGACCAACATATTGATACGCCATGGGTCAAGTTGTAGGGGTGGTTGGAAGATCAGTGAGCTGATAATCTTGAACGAACATTTTGCCTACCACTTAACAAATGGCCATATAACCACGGTTTTTTTTTTCAAAATCTAGTATCCTACACATACGCACAGACTCACCCTTACGAATACACATACACATCCTATCCTACGAACACCTATAAAAAATTAAATCGGTTGATCTATTCTTAGAGTTATCTTAAGTTAAATTTTTAAGTTTGACTAAATTTATAAGAAATAATGTCTTATGATACTAGATTCATAAATATATTTTCATAATGTGTTCATTTAAGGATATAAATACCGTTGCCCTTCTTCTATAAACTTGACCAAATTTAAAGAAATTTAACTTAAGATAAACTCTAAGAATTGATTTATTTAAAGACAGCAGGAGTATATTATCTACCACTAAATGCATTAAAATAAATACTTGGAGTAATATTATCTACCACTAAATGTATTCAAAAAAGAAGTACAAAAAAATATGGGCATGCATGACACGTCTAGACTTCCTGGGTGGATAAGACATGTCGAAGAGACTCTCAATATCCTTTAAAAATACATGCCAATAACTTTAACTAGATCTCTAAATATAAACATCCTCTATCCCAGACTTCTCACTAGCTAAAGATGAAGAACGAGAATATCCCAGACTTCTCACTAGCTAAAGATGAAGAACGAGAATAGCTCTCTAGAAGCGCACAAGATTTAGAAAAGTTATTGGAGAATATAAAGATATAAAAATAATTTTTACTCAACACAAATAACTCTCCAAATAACAATGTAGAGACTAAATTTTAGAAAAAAAACTCCCAAAGATGCTCTAAGTCCTACCACAGATAGTGGTGAAATAGGCGCACGGGACAATGAGGTCTTGGCCAATCCTTTATTCTTTTAGCAAATCGCATGCACCATAACGACTCAGGAAGATATGTGAGAAGTAGAGAGCAGACCTTGCAGGGAGCCAGGGACCATCTGCACATTATATGTTTCTTTCTTTGTCTACAACAGATTACTGTTCCAAACCTATTTATGAAGAACAACTAGCAAGGCATAAGAGAGAGACCAGTTGTACATAGTAGAGCATGATGCACTCAGAGCGAAAACAGCATTCATGCCACTGTGGACCAGCGCACGATGGTGATGTGCGCTCAGGCTGCCTCCTACAGAACTGGAGGACTAGGAGCACAGGCGACGATTCGAAGTGCCTGACAAGCATTATGGTTCCAGCTTCAAGGAGACAACACGGGACTTCCTGTTCTGCTTGGCTGCCCTCACGAACACTATGGAGAGGCATGCCGGCGCCCACCATGGCCTGCGGACTTCTTGCTCCCCTTTGAGGCAGGCCACTGGATTTTACAATCAGCATTAGTCACACCAAACTTCGTTCAGAGTTCAAGCAGAGACTTCCAAAGATTACATATAGACAAAAGCATGATATCTCAAAATTACAAACAAAACAACTCAAGAACTCACTTAAGGGTGCTTAGCGTTCATGACAAAGATATCCAATATTCAATAGCAGCATATATTGAACTTACTAAAACCTCACTAGTCACTATGCTAAACATATTAGAGTCACACAGTGAAACTATCCAAAACAGAAAGAACCAAAATATAGTAGAGCTTCAATCACACAACCTATTTGCTTACAGTCTCTCCCTACTATTCTCGAAGTGCTGTTCCGTCAATGTTATCGTTATCAATCACTACTGGAATCTCGCATTTTTCTGTGTGTGCGAAAACACACAGAAAAATGCGAATACCGTCAGAAAAATATTTTTCTGAAAAATACCCACAGAAATATAATGACAGAAAAATTCAATTGTTCTGTGTGTTCGCCGTCAGAAACAATTTTTCTGTGGGTGTTACACGCACAGAAAAATTGCGTTAGCCCAGATTAAATTTAAATGTTGTGTGCGTTGATCCTCACAGAAAAAAAGAAAAGCCCAACAGAAAAATAATTTTTCTGTGGGTGTTACACGCACACAAAAATTGCGTTAGCCCAGATTAAATTTAAATGTTGTGTCGGTCTCGGTTAACGCACAGAAAAAATAACAGACCACTGATAGAAAAATCCTTAACCATGCAGCAAATTGGATACAATAATTATATAGAAACAGAACAATAGCAACAACATATTAAATATGGACTGTCCATACTGTAATTTCATCACAACATAATAGATAGCATACAAATAAAGATCCAAATGTTCAGTACATTAATTAATGCACCCTAGAAAAATTCCCATTTCCATGAACTGTCGATATCTCATATGACAAGGGAACCTATGGTCCAATTTTTATTTCAAAAGAACTTCTTGCTCATACTTGCAAGAAGCAACTGAAGAATGTAAAGTCAGGGCTAATTACAGATTTATGAAAAGATGAACCATGCAGTGTGTTCTAGCTCCCATCTGATCAGTTCAGACAACTCTTTTCAGACTGACTTAACTAGGTCACAAAAAAACTACCTTTATTTGCAGCTGCAGGAACTTGACATACTGAACTGCTTCCTCCAGCATAGTGCTCATGTCAACCTGCAAAGGCAAGAGAACAACTTATCTTCAGTGTTCACACAAAAGTTTGCGCAAATTGCTGGGCCTTTGAAAAGAAAACACAATTTGATAGCAAAAAAATTGATCACTAAATACAAAAGAAAAGAACTTACTTTGGTGCCATTAGGAATTAGCTGCTGCAGCGTGCTTAGTCTTTCATTGATCCTCTCTCTTCTCCTCTGTTATATAGTATGACTAAGCCATCAGAAAACAAAAACTACAGATTCAGTGATCATTGCGAAATTAGCATTAAGTATTTCTGACCTTTGCGTAAAGGCTCTGTAAATCCTTCGAGGACCGACTACGACATCTTGAACTGGTACTTTGTTTCAGAACAACAGATTCTTCACACGCACCAATTGAATCATCTTCAGAGCTGCAGCTCCAGGAAAAGCTCTGACTGACATGCATCTATTTGCCAAATCAGAGTAAAGACCTAAAGAAACTAGAAAGGGTGAGCAAATCATTGCTTGTTCAAAACTGAAAATTGTAAGGTGAGCATGACATACAAATACATACTGTGAGTAGTAAGATTGTCCACCTTAGCCAAGGGTTTCACCGGTGCTACTCCACCCATGGACCAATGAACAAATATTATTAGTACTGCAAACCTGAAAATAATCAAATACATAGTGTGAGTATGAGAAAGAACATAAGTTCAGAAAATAGCCCGCAAAAAAAAGACAAACTAAGCCAAGCAAGAAGTAAAAGTTTACTCACTACTAATCTCATAGTTAGAAACCTTTAAAAGTCTTAATAAAGGGTACATGCATCTTTCCACGTAAGCTTATCTCTATTAGGCATGTAATTAGATCCTTTTCAGTGAAAAGGAACAGCACATACAGTGTAGCCATTTGTAGAAAACCAAAGATATATGAAACATTTAATCAACTGTTTCAGAATGCCTATACGTACAAGACCTGAAAAACATTAATACCTACCTACTACTACTACAAAGTTTCTCGCCAAGTCAAACGATCCCAAATTTGAGACTGTGAGTGCTGCAAAACATTAATACATACCTACTACTAGAGAGCAGCAAGAGAGCCCAGCTCTACCAAATGAACCAAACACAACCAACATGCAACCACAACCATTACTGAAACTGAAAGTAGCATCACTGATATATAACATAATAAAGTATACGACAAACCTTGTCGAACATTATTAGTCACTCAAGATACTGAACATGGAAGTAGTCACTCAAGATACCTGAACATGGATGACAATCTTCCCTCAGACAGCATATTCACATTTTAATAATATAGTTATCTGTGTTGAGCTAGGCATGAGAAGACGCATTCTTCTTACCCAGACAAGCACATCCATAACAAATCGAATAAAATAATGAAATGATGCAGGATCAGGATGTGAGAACACTTCACGCATATCCAAACCATTATTCACACTGCTTTTAAGTCAACCAAGATAACATACGTGGGACACAAGCTTGCCAATCACTAAATTCCTTGAAAGTTCAGACTTCATAACAGATCAAATTAGCAAATTGTTTAACAGATTTAGAGCCATACATTATAGTACTGAACACAGTTTAATTTTCTTTGTGTCGTGCATATCTATGGAATCCATTGCCACAGCCACACATGTATTCCACACAGATCCAAAGGGACGTTCCTCCCAACAGAGGGAGAGCTACGAAGGAATCGAAGACATACCTGCTTGCTTCTCACCAGGCGTGGGCAGAGCTTGAGAGGTGACGTGATTCTCGGGCATATGTAGTTGAGGCTCTTGGCGGCGAAGGAGCTCACGCCGGTGCCTCCGACGGCCACTCCGCCGCAGCTACTAGGGATGCCTCCATGGATGAGCAGGCTTCCGGTGGCTCCAGTCTCTGCCAGTCGCAGCCGGCATGGGGGAGGGAGGGGACCGTCACGGTCCTTGCGACTCCACCTCATGCGCGGCCTCTTGATCTAACCACGGCCACCATGGATCTGCACCGAGGTAAGGGAGGAGGCGGCTCTGGCTAGATCTGGAGGAGGGAAGTGGTGCCACAGTCAGATCTAGAGGGAGGCGAAACCCTAATGAATCAGGCATCGACGTGGAGCTGCAGGCGACACGAGTGGCGTCGGCGTCATGGAGCGCACCGGCGGTGACCAGGGCAGGGCAACGTAGGTCGAGGGCAGGGGAGACTATTCGCTTGAGGAGAGAGATGCAGGGGAGAAGCGAGGTGGAGAGAGAGAGAGACGGACGCAAGACCAAGGCCTGTTTGTTTCCGCTTCTCCTAGACACGCTTGAATTATAATCTAAATGAAGATTTTCTCGCTTCTCGTTTTTCGCTTCTCGTAGTTCAAATCTCTAAAGCGGCTTACTACATAAGCGAGAATCGGTGGAAATAAGCAAAGCGTTTGGCGGGATTCTCGCTTATTTCCACCGATAAACCGCTTATAAGCGGAAACAAACAGGGCCCAAGGGAGGTGACGGGCTCGATTCCAGACTCAAGTTGTCGATCAGCTGAAATCAATCATTTTTCGGGCCCGTCAGACGCGGCTCCCATTTACGCGTTACTGCTATCTTCCCACCGGAGGAGACAAGTCATGGACCATAAATCAGCGACTTGTGTTTTTTTTACGTATATATAGTTTTTCTGTGCGTGTATATAATTTTTCTGTGAGTTTTGAAAAGACCGACAGAATAATGGCAATTTTTCTGTGTGTATTTACACGCACAGAAAAATCACGTAATTTTTCTGTGGATTTTCGAATATTTCTGTCGGGATTTTTAAAACCCACACCTTAATTACCAATTTTTCTGTGTGTATAGAGAAAAACGCACAGAAAAATTCATCACCTACAAAAATATTCGAGTTTCCAGCAGTGGATGAGTCAAGCATTTCTAAAGAGATCAGTCCATAACTAGGTAGGCGCACTGCATTCGTTGAAGTGAGTGATACTGAGGCCTAACCACCTAAGTTCATAGCTGACCTTCGAACAATACCCCACCTGGTCTGACTTGTTCTCATTTAAGGTGTTCATATTGTGTCAAACTGTCAAATGGACCACTAAAGAATTCTTTTTTCTAACTATATCCAATATTGTTTGTGGCACCTCTTAACATCATTTTTTCCATTTCACATGTATTTTATGTATAATAGTGGTTAAAGTAAAACTTCCAAGGTTTGATGGCAAGAAGTTAAAATATCTATTTTAGACCACATGTATACGTTTAGTAATGGAGTCATGATTAACTCAAGTCAAAAACTGTTGCCGGTAACTTGGCAATGACACTTTATATGCACAAAACTTCAGCAAAAGAATTAGCTAAGCCAATCTACATAACTGAGCAACCGAGCAATGAGCTTTTACCACTACAAACACTAGTATTTTGGCTTCTTTTGTAAATGCCAAAACGATGCATCAGTGAGAGGAAACGAAAATTTCTTTTTAACATACTACTTCGCACATTGTTACAAAGTCAAGTAGAACCGATTGAGAAAATGAGTACATTTGGAGGAGCACAACTATTATAAGGTAGAACATAGAAGAAATGGGTTATATAGATAGAGTCCTTGATGTGAAAGGCTAAAGAAGAACAATAATTATACAAACCTTTAATGCGCCTCAACTCTTTGCACAGTGTGATAAAGTCTCCCCATTATTTCATATGGCACCGCCAAATAAATTAAAGCGCAGAATCTGTTCAGTAGTAAACATGGACAAGCTTTCTAGATATTCTCCATTGACACCGTTTTCTTCAAATACTTGTCTGTAGCTACCAAGATTTATTTCTTCCAGCCATAATCCAACATCCTGAAAGAAAATTGTTAGGTGAGTAGTCAAACATCTCGAGGTGACAATATAGCCATGAACTCTATCATTTGGACCCTACCAATTGTAGTCATAATAAACTAAAAGTACTATGCTGTAGCATCCGATTTTAAGAACAAAACCAGATACACATCATATATAAGTCCAGAAAGTCAAATCTCACATATAGCTATAAATAAGGGTAATATCGAAAGACAATGCTCAATATATAACGTACTTAATATAAAGGATATAACCTTAGACAGCAGACAATGGAAAGACAACTCCGATCTTCAGATAAAAAGACTCCAATTCCATAAAGACAACTGATTGGTTGATCACAAGCCTAATTTCTCCAAACTCTAGTAATCTGGTACCCATCCGGGATTTTTTCCAAATATGTAAAAAATAAAGCAAGCGTAAGTACATGTCGTACTCAACGAATATAATATGGGGTTCATGAGGCTCAAAAGGCTGACACTGATTTAACCACGATTGCCTTTTATTGAGTCATGATTTTAGCAATAGGGTGGCAACAAAGTTATCTCCCACAAACACATGATCAGGTAAACATGAATAATAAATAGCATAAACAGTAATCATTAGTGAGCATCTTCATCATCAGTGTTCATCATCTATGCCGTAAATGTTCTAAGGCCGCTCGTGACCATGAGCATGGCTGATATACTAGTTTTATACTCTGCAGAGGTTGTACACTTTCACTGTGGGTCGTGATTTACCCTTTCGCCCGAGGTATCTAATCTTTTGACCCACTTCCAAAGAAGGTCGGCAGGAATCACTATGAAGCCTTTCAAAGATTCGTCTAATAAGTTAGGGCCATTAGATTCACTCGGCAAACAGATGTAGGAACCCCCTTCCCGATGGCACAATGACACGCAGCCTATACACAAGGGGACAGAGGCTGTCCAATACCCGATTTGTCCAGCCATTCTTACACCACTAAAGGTAACCACTAACAAGCTAGAAAAGTGTCACACCCAATTTTAAGGATAAAATAGAGTGCAAAATCTTATGTGTGCCCAGAAATCAGTCACACACATAAGCCGACAAACTATGAATAGTATCATCATAAATGTTTATTACATCATGAATAAGACAGAGTTATCACATAAATATAGCGGAAGTAATAAAAGATCTCTCGCGGAAGCTCCATTTTACAGGGACGTCGACTAGTTGACCACAAGTCTAGTAGTCCTCAGAAAAATCATCATAACCAAAGCCATCTGTTACCCATCCGGGATTTTTATCCAAGTAATGAAAATAAATAAGCGTAAGTACATGTCGTACTCAACAAGTGTAACACGGGGTTCATGAGGCTCAAAAGGCTTGACACAGGTTTAACAGCGTTTAGCTTTTAGTTGTCACAATTTTAGCTTATGAGTAGCAACAAGTTGTTTCAATTCCCAATGCAAAACACATGATCAAATGTAAACATGATTAATGAATAGCATAAACAAATAATACTTAGTGTTCATCTATTCCATAAGGGTTCCAAGGCCGCTCGTGACCGTGAGCACGGCTGATATACCAGTTTTACACTCTGCAGAGGTTGTACATTTTTACTGTGAGTCGTGATACCCATATGCCCGGGTTAATTACTCCCAAAACACTTCCAAGGTGAGCAGACAGGGGTCACTATAAAGCCTTTCAAAGGTTCGTCTAATAAGTTAGGGCCATTAGATTCACTCGACAAACAGATATAGAGCCCCCTTCCCGATGGCATATTGACACGTAGCCTATACACATAGAGATAGAGGCCGCTCTATACCCGATTCTTCAAGCCATTCTTACGCCAATGAAGGTAACCACTAACAAGCTAAAAAGATCCTCATACTAAGCTAAAGCCAGAGCCATGTAGCCCTCACAGCTGTACTGTAAGTCCCGGATGATCACTTACAGATAAGTCCTTAGGGAGAGGAATCTGAAGCATTTAGAAAGTAGCTAAACACTCTAGCCCATGTTTCCATGTTGCTAAAAATCATATTTTAATGTTTATTGTATATACCATTAGTCAAGTTACAAGATCATGATTTAATTGAGCACTAGCAAAGCTACCCAAATGCATATCCCGTAGGTGACAAGGTAAAAGTTCAATTCTAGGAAATTCCTATCAAGGCGACACATGCAACATGAATTTAATGAATTAAAGTGAATAGAAAATAAGGATGATCACATGCTATACTTGCCTTGAGCAAAGTACTCTTGCTAGTCTAGCTCATCAAAGTTGTACCCTTAATCTCCCACGAACTGCTCACCGTCTATACTCGATAACCACAGCAACACACAAGCATCCAAGAGCAATCATGCAAAGTAAACAAAGCTATAGATTAGAACAGTACACCAACAGCAAAGAATCCAGATGAAAATTTTGGAAAATGAATCTACGTCTCGCTACAAACACACAGACGCGAAGATCATAAAAATCGGATCTAAAACGAAGAAGTTATGAATTAAACAAGTTTTCCTTTAGTAAAATAATAGATTAAATCTAATCTCGAATTTTAAAAGTTGAAAACCTAATTAACAGTAGTATAAACATGTAGATTACTTGATTATGAACCTAACAAAAGTTGAACGGATTAAATCAGAGTTAAAACAAAGATTTTATGGCTAAAACAAGTTGAGTGGCAAAACTGTAAATAGCTAAAAACGTATTTCAATATAACCGAACCAAAATACGCTTTCAAAAGGCGAAAACAGAATCATGAAAACACGCTTTGGACTGTGGGTTGAATCTGAAATAATTATAAGGACTCATATGCAAAATTCCGACCGAAGGGGTATCCTTCATTATGAGCCGCCGGATTAGATCTGAACGGCTTGGATTCAATCTGGCGGAAGAGAGAGAGAAGGTGCGCCGGAACAGTGCCGGCGGTGGCTTGACCACGGCGGCGCCATGGGTGCCTCGCCAGAGCTCGTGGTTTATGGCCAAAAACGCTCGGTTCAATGAAAAAAAACGCCGGGAGATGGAGGGAGCAACGGCGGACTCACCGGACCAAAAGATCAAGAACGGAAGGCAGTAGAGGCAGCGCGGCGCTCGGTTGTTCGCGGCTGTCGCGGCGGCGCTAGAGCGAGGTGTGGCTGCGGCTTGCTAGGGCAAAAAAAATGAGCGGCGGACGAGATAGGAGGCA